GGATCAGCAGGGGTTTGTCTGTATCTCTGCGGCCTCAAAACCAAAACACTCTCGCACGCACACACACACACACACACACACACAACTCCCAGGCGATCCAAGAGGAGATCTCCTCACGTGAATCTGACGTTAACCACCTCGAGTCCGTCAGCCAATCGCTGACCCCGCTCAGCTGCACGGCCGATCGCAATTGGCTAAGCGAGCGCGTGGGGGCGGTGAGGTCCAATCACTCGGAGCTCACTGATTGGTGCTCCCGGCGTGCGGGCATGCTGGAGCAGGCGCTGGCTAACGCCCAGCTGTTTGGGGAGGAGGAGGTGGAGGTGCTGAACTGGCTGGCAGAGGTGGCTCAGAGGCTGGCTCAGGTCTCAGTGCAAAGCTACCAGCACCAGCTGCTGGCTGAGCAGCACAAACACACCCTGGTACGCCCTCACGCACTCTCTGAATCACTCGTTCTCCTTCGAAAACATGGGAGCAGTATTTAGTGCGTTTATTAAGAATAATATACAATATATCAATAATTATAAAATTACATTTTGAATCGATTCAAACTGCACAGATATTTCATTATAAATGTTGACATTTCAAATTAAATTATATATTTAATTATTTATATATTCATCTTTCTTGTAATCTTTTTTATAATAGTTTTTTCTTACAAATTAATTATTCAAACACTTGATACTGATTCTGAAGTAAATACACTTTTTTTGTATTTAAATACATTACTTGAATATCAATGTATGACAATATATATACCTAAAATAATTAACGTAATCATTTCCTTCAGTATTTTATTTTTAAAAATGGTATACGAAGACCTGTAGCACTACTGGTGTAGTTTATTTACTTCGACTTTTTTGATCAGTTTCTTAAAGGATGCTCACTGTACATAAGACTTTGTTCTCGGGGCCAAAGAGAAAATATCTTACTGGATGTTAAACCCGCTCTTTTCTCCCCTTAGGCTCTAAATGAAGAGATTGTGAGCAGGAAGAAGACGGTGGACCAGGCTATCAAAAATGGACAAGCTTTACTAAAACAGACCACAGGTAATCTCAGACCCCTTATGTTCTACACTTAATTTAAACTCTATCGCAATCTAAATGTGTGCCTAACATGTCTGAAAGTGTTCAAGTGTTGTATATAATTCAATTCTTAGAAAGAAGATATAAAAAGCAGTCAATATTCTGTAAAATTGTAAATGATGTTGTGAAACCTAGTAAAAAATCCCATTAGAAATGTACCAAAAACATCCAATAGTTGTTGTAGATTCATATCCAAACAATCAGCGGTGAACCAAATTGTAACATCTGGTTTGTGTCTCTGTCCTAATGATATTAGCCATGCTGACTGCTGGCACTATTAGTAGACCATTGTCGGTCTACCCCATAATAATACTTTTTCAGACCAATGTTGTAACAACTAGAGGTACTGTCAAGCCCAAGAAGCTGTGAGATTTGGCAGAACATGCTTGCAACGGGGAATTTTAGGAGATAATCAAGAAATGAAGAGCCACAAATTAGAAAGGGATTTGATCTGGTGTGTCGCCTGCAGGAGAGGAGGTCCTGCTGATCCAGGAGAAGCTGGACGGCATCAAGTCGCGCTACGCTGAGATGACGACGGGCAGCAGCAAGGCGCTCCGCACGCTGGAGCAGGCCCTGCAGCTGGCCACACGATTCGCCAGCGCCCACGATGACATCAACCAATGGCTGGATGCCGTTGAGGCGGAGCTTAACAACGTGGAGCCCGACGCAACACCCGCCTACCAGGAAAGACAGAAGGTGGGAAGAGTTTAAGACAGATTTTTATATATTTTTGCAATGATTTTGAAGACACTATAAAACAAAAGGGTATGCAGAAAGTCATTTGTGACTTTATGTCACAAATGTTTTCACTATTTGACATGACAGTCTGCTTCCTGGTATATTATTAACATGGCTGTGAGTCACTTAGATTAAAATGAGTGTTTGGATCAATATCTACACATTGCATCTGTTCTCTTGTACACTCATTTATGGATTTGTTATAAAATATTTGCTGTTTTATTATTCCACTGTTGAAGATGCAGTTTATTTGAGCATTATTGAGTTTTGTGAAAGTGACTCCCGCTGGGGCACTTGAATGACAGTCTGTAACCGAGGTGTTAAGTTGATAAAACTCTAATCATCCACATTTTACACTTAATTTTGGTGACAGCTCCTGTCGGTAATGACATTTTCATCCTCTCCAGTATCAACCCACTCACAGTTGCCATGGTGACATTGATTTCTTGGAACTCAATTACAGTTTATCATAGCTATTGAATTTATTTAGAAATGATTGCTGTTTAATTTGTTGCTGCCATCCAGTTGGTTTCACTCTATAACGCCATTTTCAGCATTTCAAATGTAATACGTTTTCAGTTTTTAAAAGACAATAATGCTCCCAATAATGCTACTTTTGCTGTAAACTAATCCTTATCTTTGACTTTTGCAGGAGCTAAAGAAGGTGTCTGCAGAGAAGCGCCTGGTGCTGGACACGGTGAACGAGGTGGGCAGCGCTCTGCTGGATCTGGTGCCGTGGAGGGCCCGCGAGGGTCTGGACCGCCTGGTCGCCGATGCCAACCAGCGCTACCGCCAGTCTGATGAAACCATCAGGCAGCGGGTGCAGCTGGTACAAGCTGCCATCCAGAGGTCACAGCAGGTACTGCAACATATGTGCAATAAATGTTTTGCTCAAATTCCATTCATTTAATGTATTTTACTGTGAGCACCAGGGACATTAGAATATATACAGTAAACATAATTAATACAAAATTAAATATTGATATGTTATTTACATCCACATCTCGTAAACAATCCAGCACTTCTCTCACTATCAGTTAGAAAAACATTTCTTTGGGAACTTTTTAGTTATGTGTAACTGGAAAAAATAGTTCCCAAAGAAAATGTATTACGGTTTTAATCTTTATCTTGTATTTTTAAATAAACATTGACCATGAATAAAAATACTTTAAACTCAATAATAGAAGAAACCATTTATTTACTAGCTCATTTCTATTTCTCATTCTCATTCTCACCCGGCCTAGACTCTTATTTTGAGTGTAATTCATTTGTCGTAAGTGACACAACGAAATTAACATGGTGAAATATCAATTTGACTGATACCACTGTTATCATTTTTTATTATCAAATTCTCTACAAATATCACAATAATATTGCTATTGTAACTTCTTACACTCAAATAATCGTGTAGCGAAAATCTGATTGTGACAGCCCTTTAACTTTAACCTGCTGAACGCTAACTTCTCTATCTTTCAGTACGAGGAGGCGGTGGATGCAGAGCTGGCCTGGGTGGGGGAGACGGAGCGTAAACTGACGTCTCTGGGGCCCCTGAGCCTGGAGCCTGACGTGACCGTGGCCCAGATGCAGGTGCAGAGGGCCTTCAACATCGACATCATCCGACACAAAGACACCGTGGATCAGCTGCTCAGCACCAAGGAGGACATCCTGGAAACCTGCAGCGACGCCCAGAAGGATGCACTGTTGGTCAGTCACTGAACATGAGAAATTGAAACTAAACTAATCAAACTTACATGGGATCTTTGGAACTGATATCTGCATGTCTTTACATTTCTCCTTCTGCAGGTGAAGACAGATTCGCTCAGCGCTCGATATGAAGGCGTGAATCAGATCCACAGCGAGCGGTTCTCAGCTCTGGAGCAGGCCCAGGTTTTGGTCTCTCGCTTCTGGGAGACACACGAGGAACTGGAACCATGGCTGGGCGAGACAGAGACCCTCATCACGCAGCTGCCCCCGGCCGCCATCGACACCGACGCCCTCCGCCTGCAACAGGACCAGATGAGGGTAAGAGAAGATGTCAAGTCTGTTCTCTTATTCCAGCTGAAATGTGTATTTTGTTCCTCACTCTCTTTCCCTTGCCTCTCCAGCTGCTGAGGGAGTCGATCGCAGAGCACAAGCCCCACATTGACAAGCTGCTGAAGATCGGACCCCAGCTGGCCGAGCTTAGCCTCACAGAGGGGGCGAAGGTGACACAGCGCTACAGCGAGGCCGAGAGGCGCTACCTGGCCATCAAAGAGGGGGTCAAAGGTCGTGCGACAACCTTAGACGAGGCCGTTTCACAGTCATCACAGGTACGTCTCAGAGGAGAAGCTGCTCACTGTTTAAAGAACTGTTTTAACTGCAGACCTGGGTCTCATAAGTTAGTATTTCATCTACTTGGGTACCAGAAAGTCTGAAGGCTTTGATGTTTTAAAGTGAATTCAGTAAGCTTGAATTACATTTTGTGTACGATTTTATCTTATTTGGTCAACTTTGCACCTCCAATTTTGCAGGGAGGGAATGATTTGCAAATTGTATTAAACTTGTAAACGCTGTTTACAGCTTGTTAGATCATGTCTGCAGCCCAAATCAAAACAGACTGATGTGATTACAAAGCGGCATGAAGTTTGTGTTTGCTGCTGGAAACTAGAGGATGATAAGAAATGAACATGCATTCATGTCATGAGATCAGTGAAAGCTTCTTTTTTTATTTACTGTCTTTTTTATAAACACAGAATAGGTGAAGACTGGGAAAATGCAGCACAATCAGTTGAAAACATTACAAATATATACAGTATGTTTAAAAAACTATTGCTCAGCCAAAACGTTCCATTTCTCTTATCACAACGTCTATGTCTGTTAGTGCTAGTTTTCCTTATGGATATTTTTCACACTTCATCTCATGAGACGTCATTGAATCACCTGTGTGGCAGCCTTACGTGTCGCTGCCTTTCGATACTGCCTGACACTGTGTACTGTATGCATGGCTCTGATTTAACTCATTGTAATGTTTCTCCACCCTCCTCCACCCCCACCACACCAATCCATGTGTCTCTTCCTCCACCTGCACACTGTCCCCATCCCTCACTCCATCCTCACCTCCCACCTCCTTGTTGTCTCTCCTTCCTCATCCTTTACACTTAATCTAAATCTCCCTCACCTTCATGTCCACCCCCATCCTTTGCAACCCTCCACCATCCCATCCCTTGTTCATTGTGGATGTGCTGTGTGTGTTAACCCCCCCCAACCACCAACATTTTCTCCGTCATCACTGCTCACTGCATCACCCAGCTGGTAGAGGTAAGACCACAGACTGACATCGACCAACTGGCACTCAGGGGCGGCTGCGACACCTGATTTGGTTTATTAGTCAAATATGAGTCAATACTTACTATACCAATACCTACTTTTTTTTAACTAATTCAGTTCTAATCTGGCCACAAAAAGTCTTAATTTAGCTCAAATGCTCAAGTTTGTCTTGACATTACTGAGTACAAATTCTAAAACCACAATGTAATATAAAATCTACATAATGGTCCGGATCATGTGAATGCCAACCCTGAGTTTCATTCAATTCAATTGGTTAGGAAATGTCTTTGTTTGTAATTTTGTAGATTGAAATAAGCCTAAGAATTAGACATGCTTTCTATTAAGGATTATTTTAGTCTCATAATAGACTTGATGTATGTCCTTGAAGTGAGGCATAGCTGTCCTTCTGTATCACAAAATATTTCCCTTGTGTCTAAATGATGTTTGTTGTCTTATGTAGTAATAAAGCAAATTGATTGTCTTGAGGTACATAAAAAGCCCATCAATTACTAGAACTGGTACTGTCTTTGCTCTTTTGTTCATAATGTCTCCACTATCCAAAAGGTTTGTGTAGAAGCAGCTCCCTCTTGTGTGGTAGATCAGTCCCAGTTTTTGTACCTGGATGACATGCTGAATGTGCAATATTGAGATATTAAAGAGGCCATATTATACTAAACGGGGTTTTCCCCTTCCTGTAGTGTGTTATATAGGTTTCTGTGCATGTTAACGGTTTGCAGAGGCTAAAACCCCAACAAGGGAGTTTCTCTCCCACATACTCCCTCTGCCTGAAACGCCTCCATTGGGCTCTTTTGTTCACTTCTGTAACATAGTGACATCATTATGTAACAGTCGCTAAACCTTAAAGCATGTAAACAGTTCACAGTAGAGGCACACAATACAACTAATAACCTGAAATTGAGCTTAATGGGGCCCTTTTGAACATTTGATTAGAAGTGTATCGCTGTTTTACATCCCTGTTGAAATCTGATGTTAAACTCATAAGAAGTGAATGCCGCAGATGGCCGACCACCCACACCATATCTCAGTATTCTCCCACTTTCAAAATGTCACCCATCTATCAAAAAACCCAGCCCCCTCAACACACTCTCTCTACTTCCTCTTTATTAAACTTTTATCCAACTCTCCTTCCGCCCCCAGTTTCACGACAAGATGGACCCCCTGCTGGAGACCTTGGAGGGGGCGGTGCAGCGGCTGCGGCAGCCCCCCCCGGTGGCAGCCGAGGTGGACAAGATCAGGGAGCAGCTAGGGGAGCACCGAGCCCAGGGGCTGGAGCTGGACAAACTGCTGCCCAGCTTCTCGGCTCTGTGCGCCCGCGGAGAGGAGCTCATCGGACGGGCTGCTCACGACGACCCTGCCGCTCAGGGTCAGTAGGATGTGCCTGGCCGGGAATATAAGAGAAACAACAAAATCACATACAGGCGTAAATTCCATGTGTCAAACAGTATGAGGGGGATTTACATAAATATGAATAATCTCCCTTATATTTCATTAAAAATAGTTTGTTTTTAATGATTGATTTGAATTTCACCTTTTAATGTACTTTTTCTATTCATTGATAAGATGCTGTGCATACAAATTGTAGGTCTCCATCACAGACTGAAATTGTTTTACTTAAAAACGTCAACCAGCCTGCCAACTCTTCTTGTAGGCACTCACTGTGTGCCCATAAAAGTGGATTTTTATTTTAAAAATTCAAAGAACTTGCTATTATTGAAAATAAATATTAAAGAACTTCCAGTTCCAAAAGGAAATCAGAAAGTGAAGTGATAGGAAAACATAGCAGGCTTCTGTAATCTGGGAGAAAAACATTACAAATCTTATTTTGGGCTCCAGTCCAACGAGTCCACTTACTAAACAGTCCACTGTAAGTTGTAGTGGCATAAAGCCAGTGCGCAGGCCTTGTCAAATCTTGAAACTGAACAGATTCAGCAGCTCTGCATATTTCATCCTACGCAAATTGTCCAAACACACGTGTCTTTGTTATATTACCCTCCCTATGCCCTCCACACTTTATGAAGTGAAAGGCCTCACTGTGCAGATACAGTGGGAGTGGACTGATAAGAGACTTAACTTAAGAACTCCAACAAAGAAAACATTATTATTACTTTTTTGACATTACACTAAAAATGACCAAGTCGAATGCCCAGTGAGATCCAACCAGCTTTTTTTCTCTACCAGTCTGTGTAATCTCTGACTCCTCCCCTTTTCCTCCCCAGCCGTCCGTACCCGCCTCCTGCGCCTGCGCTCCCTGTGGGATGAGATCCGACAGCGGGCAGAGGAGAAGGAGGGGAAGCTGAACGACGTGTATGACCTGGCCGGGAAGTTCTGGGCCGACGTGGCGGCGCTGCTGAGCACGCTCCGAGACTCCCAGGACATCGTGAGGGAGCTGGAGGACCCCGGCGTGGACCCCTCGCTCATCAAACAACAGATCGAGGCTGCTGAGGTATGGAGGGCCAGAGGGAGGGACTTAATATAAACAGTAGGCAGAGCAGAGGAACAGAAGAGCTAATAGTGTGTTTTTACTTTGAAGGACTCAGTACCATGCCTTTGTCTCCTTCCACCAGGCTATTAAGGCAGAGACCGACGGCCTGAGGGAGGAGCTGGAGTTTGTCAGGACCCTCGGAGCCGACCTCATCTTTGCCTGTGGAGAAACTGAGAAACCTGAAGTGAAGAAGACCATTGATGAGGTGAGAAATCAGTAGTTGAATGTAACATTTACTCAAGTACTACACTAAAGTACCATATTTTATTTTTACTTTTAAATCCTCTACATTTAGCTGAAGTTGCTTTTCAGGTCAATATTTACATGTAACACATATCATCAGTTTAAAAAATATTGTGTATTCTTATAAGTTGCAAGCCTGTACTAGTAGTTTAAAATGCTGTAGCTCTACCACCGCAACGTTAAAATGCTGTTTACATTCATGCATGAATAATAACAAACAAATGTACTCGCTGAGTTGGTTCATTTAGCATCAGGAATTCTTCTACTGTAAATGTTGACGCTAACACTTCTCTACCAGTAAGTACGATGTTTAATGCAGGAATTTACTTGTTTTGGAATATCTTTTCCTGTGGTATTACTACTTCACTAAAACACTTGTAAACAACACCAAGTTCTTGTGAAAAGAGGGATTGGCTTTAGTAAACACAAGATAATTAAATAAATGATTTAGCCCTGCTACAAGTTGGCCTAACTAACATTATTCCTCTGTGTGCTCCCAGATGAACGCTGCCTGGGAGGGTCTGAACCGGACGTGGAGAGAGAGGATGGAGAGGCTGGAGGAGGCCATGACAGCGTCTGTGCAGTATCAGGACGCTCTGCAGGTCTGTGCATCACTTAGTCTTTGTTTATAGTCACACTGGGCCTTCAGATGCACGTAAGCCCTTCTTTAGTGTCTTTTTTGCACCAATTAAGAAACCAAAACAGTTTCTTCCATTGCTATATGGTCATCCATAATAACTGTGATCATGTTGTTAACTTATTGTTTCTGTTTTATTTTCCAGTCTATGTTTGACTACCTGGACAACGCTGTGATCAAGCTGTGTGACATGTCCACAGTGGGAACTGATCTTGGAACTGTCAAACAGCAGATTGAAGAGCTCAAGGTAGGTCATTCTCATTTCTTGTTTAAACAAATCACTCATTAATTTGAATATTATATACAAAACATAGGTTTTATTTTATCTAGATATTTTCCATGATACTTATTATCACCTTTAGTGATTTGAGTAGTTAAATACCTTAAAGTCAATAATTAAGGTCTGTGGTAGGTATTTTTACTTGCTGGATTTTCTATTAAATGTAACTAACTTTTTTTTAAAGAAAATGGATGAAACGGGTCGTTTTAGACATATGAAAAAACTTTTCAGATTGCAATTATTGTTTGGAGATAACCTTGAGTCAGTATTAAGAACTAACCATATGACTCTTCTCTTCCTCTCATCCCTCGGTTCCCCCTGAGCAGCAGTACAAGGTGGAGGTTTACCAGCAGCAGATTGACATGGAGAAGCTGTGCCACCAGGGAGAGCTGCTGCTGAAGAAGGTGTCCGACCAGACGGACCGGGACATGATCCAGGAGCCGCTGACCGAGCTCCGTCACCTCTGGGAAAACCTGGGGGAGAAAATCACACACAGACAGGTAAGAAAACCGAGCGTAGCAGCAGTGGGGCAGAAGAGTTCAAATCTACACAGCAGAGTAGCAAAATAGCAGAAAAATGTTTTACTGTTACATTATTCTGTAGCTTACCCGATTGTACGATTTTCAACTGCTTTTCATACTACCTAAATGTTTAAGTTGCTATTTTTAAGATGAAACTTCTGTCTTCCTTCCACAACAGCACAAGGTCGAGGGTGCCCTGCTGGCCCTGGGTCAGTTCCAGCACGCTCTGTCTGAGCTGCAGGCCTGGCAGAACCACACACACACCACCCTGGACACACAGCGGCCCATCAGCTCTGACCCCAAGGCCATTGAAATTGAGCTGGCTAAACACCACGTATGTCTCCTTTTATCGCAACTTATATGAGAGAGTTCTCCTTTGTTTCATTATATTTTTGACATTCTCAAAAGTCTAAAAAAGGAAAATGGGGAGCTAAGGCTGGATATGAAAAACCAATATATTTATGTTTAATTATCTTCTCTCTCCCTCCTCTCTGCCCCAGGTTCTGCGTAATGATGTTCTTTCCCATCATGCAACTGTGGAGAATGTGAACGGTGCTGGCGCTGAGCTGCTGGAGTCGTCTCCTGGCGACGAGGCCAGCCAGCTGAGGGACCAGCTGGACCATCTGAACCAGGGCTGGCAGAGCCTCCTGCTGAAGACCCAGGAGAGGCAGAAGCTGCTGGAGGCCGCCCTGCACCAGGTAGAGGAGGAGACACTGATCTGAGTGCTGTGGAATCACAGGGACACCCTGCCTTTAGTATGAGGAAGAAAGGAAACAAACCAGAACTGATGAAAACACTCATAACTTTATATATTTAATAGTTGTTATTTCAATAATTTATGAATGATTGCAGTAGTGATGGTAAAAACGATAGCTTATTAGGTCCAATGCTTGTATACAAACAAAACAACATAAAAACACTACAGAGCCATGGAAAGGAGTTAATATTCCAAGAAAAGTATTTTCCATTTCTGAGATTAAAGTGGTACATTTATGAGAAAAAACTCAAGCAATGCAGGAAAAATCCTTAATGATATATGAAATTATACATTTGCAAGAAAAGATCTGAAATTCTCTAAGATTAATTTCACAAATGTTTTAGTTTTTTATTTAATGTCAAAATAGTTTATCTTTTCAAGGTTTGATCAACCTCATCACACCACAGCACCGCCACTTGCCTTTTGTTTCGCCTACAGTGGACAAGCTTCATTTGAATGAATGTATACTTTGCCATCACATTTAGCATTAGAGAAAACCTTCAAATGTTGGCCCATAATCACCATATTATCATAAGCATCCAGTCTTCAAATATACTTATCTGTGAATTTGGCCAACAACATGTCTTATAGAAATGGCATTTTTTTGTTCATGATATCTGAATTTATAAGCTAACATAATTGATTTGTACTTAACTCACCTTTTTCCTTGTAGGCTGAGGGTTTCCATGGCGAGTTGGAGGAGTTCCTGCAGTGGCTGAGGAGGACGGAGAGCCAGCTGTCTGCCGCCAAGCCCACCGGCGGCCTCCCTGAAACAGCCAGGGAGCAGCTTGAGCAGCACGTGGTAACAAACCAGAATCACACTGCACCTTTATGCTCAGAGCATCATCAACGATACACAAAGAGACACTTTAGACTTTCAAATTGTAGATGCTTAAGTCACTTTCGCACTTCTGCTTCATTTTGCAAACTCACAAGAAGAGATTTTTGGAAATTAGACACAGTTTAATGAGGGAAAGTGCAAGCAGAGATGTTAATATAAACTGGACCGAAGACCCGAGTTCAATTCCGGCCTGGAACCATTTGCTGCGTCTCATTCCCTCTCTCTCCTCTTTTAACTATGTCTCTATCATTGGTAAATAAACAATCTTTGAAAAAAAACATATAGTCTCTCCCACGCTGGGTAATAAACATCCAGAGTTGTAATGCTGAAGTTATAAGGTATTACTTTATTATTGCTGTAATAAACACTTGTAAAATTATTTAATCCTCTTTCAAAAATAAATCTTAAATGTAACAACCCTGCAAAGCTGATTCAGTATGAGGACAGCCTTTTTCTAAAAATACTATACTAAGTATACAGCAGCTATTTCTGCAATGTCATAAAATCATTTTATAAGCACATATATTTTTACTAGCAAAGTTTTAAGCAGATGTTCAGAGTATTATCTGACACATTGTGCTCTGTTCTCCTCAGTGACACATGTGTATGGTGACTGTGTAACTCGAACAGCTTCTATTGCCCTCATCCAACCATTGCTCACCTCTTATGCCCCTTTCACACCAACGCGTTTTCAGCTCCGGCTCGGAGCTGGAGCCTGAAAAGTAGTAGTTTTTTCCTGTTCACACCGCAGAGGCGCCGCCTCTTAGCTCCGGAATCCGGTTCACTTCCAGCTCCAAAAAATTGTCGTTCTAGAAGCAAGAGCTTCGGAGCTAAGAGGCGGCGCCGCTTACGTCTCTCTTACGTCGAGGCCTGCAGGAAACTAAACCCACCTCCCCTGAACATGGGTCGACTGAAGTGTCTCGTCATGCCTGCCTACAAGCAGTAGTGCTAAGCAAAGTGACTAGAAGGCAACCACACATTTATAAAAAAAAACACACTTTATAAAGTCAGGCAACACTAACCAGTAACCAGGCTTCGTATGATTCTGTTTATTTGCACCTTACTTTGACCATCCGTTCGCTGTTATTGATCATTGTGGAGAGCAGGCAGACGTTTTGTTTTGTATTATAGCAGCTATCGGATGGAATCAATACATGGGCTGCACAGGTTGTCGTGAACAAGTATAAGGTTGGAGTTGGAGAAGTAGTTATTTAATTTAATCTGGCTTTGCTTTAAAAGCAACACGATCATCGACCCGACGCAGTCCCCCGTTGTTGTTGCTGTTGTTGTTGTTGTTGTGAGTGCCGTTGGGGAGCAAATCAGCGATGTAAACGATGACGTCATGACGCAGCAGCGGCAGCACTATCCCGGCTCTGAATGATGTGAACAAAGCGGGAGCAGAAAAGGGAAACCGGAGCTGAACCAGAAAAGCTCTAGCTCGGAGCTAGAAAGGGAAAAGCGCTGGTGTGAAAGCTGCATAAGTGTTATCTCACACTTGTGTCTTCTCTCTGTGTGCAGGAGCTCCAGGCCCAGCTGGCTCAGCGGGCAGACCAGTACCACAACCTGCTGGACCAGGGAGAGTCCATGCTGCTGGCTCGGGGGGGAGAGGAGGCCGGACCCGGCACCACCCAGACCCAGCAGAACCTGGCCATGCTGCAGAACAAGTGGGCCAGCCTGAACACCAAGATGGACGACCGCAGGGTAAGACTGAGACACGAGGAGGTGTTTTATTGCTCTGCCCTACTTTATTCTAAAGATGCATTGGCCATTGACAGCCACACACAAACACACACGCGCGCGCACGCACGATTTAGTGGTGTGGAAGTTCCTTAGAACTAGGGAAGAAGATTGGCAATTTATAACACCTGCAAGTCCAAAATAGGCCTTGGAGAAACATCTTTCAAAATAAGGTTAAGAAAAGAGAATTGTCCTTTAATTTTATGCATTTTTGAAAGAACAATTTATTTTCAATTTTTCATTAAAGATACAACAATGTTTGCCTACTGTATGCTGTAAATTATAGTTCTTAAAAATAAACATTGGACAAAATCTGAATGTGCAAATCACATTTTTAATTAGCACAATTAAATGATGAAGGCACTTAAAAATGACAAGGTATTACGAAATGTGATCTGTATTAGTTTTTTATTAGAAAAAAAGTCCTGACAATTGGGTCCTCTCGATGTAGCTCCGTCCTGTTCTGTTTGTAAAGCCCGCATCACACTGTCCCGAAATGGACACCCGATGGACACACGATAAAGGAAATGTTCGACTCTGATCGTAGCAACATCGGGCCATTCGTGAGGGCATCTTAAGCCATCGTATGACCACCGGTGGAGTTTCTCAGGCTCCGGCAGCAACTTCGTGAGCGGTAACTTCGTAAGGCATCTTGTAAAATCGTGTCATCTTCGTGTTATCATCGGTGCCATCGGGCATTCGCCTTCACTCTGATCGGGGCGAATGCCCGATGGCGCCGATGATAACAAGATGCCCTCACGATGGCCTAACGAAGGGCAAAATTGACACGAATTCAACACGAAAATTAACCTGCTCAAGGTCCTTCTGCAATTTTTTGGCATGCCGAAGATTTTGCCACCGCTCACGAAGTTGCTGCCGGAGCCTGAGAAACTCCACCAGCGGTCATACGATGGCTTAAGATGCCCTCATGAATGGCCCGATGTTGCTACGATCAGAGCCGAATTCGAACATTTCCTTTATCGTGTGTCCATCGGGTTGTTTTATTGCACAACAAAATCATGTAAACATATTATGTAAATAACCCAATTTGTGTTCTGTGAAACTGAAAAGGATATAATATAGTATTTTGAAGACGAGTTGACAGGGAGTTGTTGTTGCTATGGAAACAACATTACGGAGAAAACTTAATATCTTCTACATATAAAGACGGATAAAGTAAAGAACAAAGTCTGAAAATATCAGTACAGTATCATAGTACTTTAACACACCGTAATTTTCGGACTATAAGGCGCACCTGAATATAAGCCGCAGCAGCGGCATACCACTCTCGGTTCCACTTTTACTTT